GAGGAGGTGGAGGAGGAGGATGACGCCGACGAGGGAAAGCCCTCCTCTTCGCCAGCAGGTCTGCGCTGCAATATCGACGTGCCGTGGCGCGCTCCCCCGGGGCGCGCGCCGGCGCCTGCGGGCCGAGTCCAGGGGGCTCTCTGACAGAGAGCCCCCGGCGTGCCTCTAGCCATCCCAAACAGTGTTCTAAGAACCGTTTGCGGTTTCCGGGAGATGTTCTCAGAACATTTCTGGCTGGGACTGTCTTGTTTTAGCGCCTCGGGCTTATGTTCCAAGAACACTGTTTTCGTTATTAAAACATTTCTGGGTTCTCAGAACCTGTCGTGCTATGGCTATGGGAATGCGGGGACGGTCGGTCCCTGCTCAATCTGTGCTGCGGGGCCCTGGCTGCTGTGCGCGGGCTCCACGTTGAGGGCGCCTGGCGGTGCCTCTGCGATGCTGCAAGAGAAGGATCCCCTCCTCCGCCCTCGCCTCTCTCAGGTAAGACGAGACGCTGGACAGTGGAGACCCATGCCAAGAAGCACCCTGCTGGCCTCCTGGGTGCCCTGGGCTTCTTGGGTCCCGATGGTTTTGCCGTGGGAAGCGTGACGCTCCCACACCGAAAATCGATGGATGTCCTGGGGTCTAAGGGTTGGGCTTCTCGTGGAAGGTCTCTTTTGGACTGGCCTCCACTGTAAACGTGAACTTTCGACGCTCCGCGCGGACTTCTTTGGAGCCGCGCTGGGCCCCCCATGGCGGCGCCTCCGACGCCGCCCCGCGCTCCGCGTGCCAGGGAGGCGGGTCCAACAAAGTCTTAAGTCGGGCCTGTCTCTCTACAGGGGGAATATTCAAAAGTAGTTAAAAGAATAGTCAGGGGACGATGTCTGGAGCATTTTTCGATGATTTGGGGGTATTTCTGACTACTTTTTAATTTTCCGCCCAAGCTCCCCCGGTAGGGGGACATGCCCGACCTAAGCAACGTCGCGCGGAGCGCCAGATGTTGATGCTGATGGCGCTTCCTCTTCTCTGCTCTCCCAGCGTCCTCGTCCGTGTGCTCTTCTCTCCCGCCGCCCCTCTCGTTGGTGCCCGCCTGCCCCCCCGCCCTCTTCGGCTTCCTCGCCTTAGGTCGGGCCTGTCAACATACAGGGGGATTTTGGGCGAAATCATAAAAAACAGGTGCAAGAAAATATCCCAAAGATATTCAGACATAGTCAACAACATCGCCCCCAGACTATTATTCAACTATTTTTGAATTTCCCTCCTGTAGAGGGACAGGCCCGACTTAATCCTCGTCCTGTGCATCTGGTCTTTTCTTAAATCGGGCCCGTCCCTCTACAGGAGGAACGTTCAAAAACAGCCAAAAAATACTCTGGGGATGATCTTTTGAGTATTCAGTGATCGTTTTTGAGTCTTTTTTGACTATCTTTTACTTTTCGTCCAAACTCCGCATGTATGGGGGACGTGCCCGGCCTGAGTGCTTTCTACTCCGGCAGCCCTTGTATGGGGTGGAGAGCTGAACCCCGGAACGGCCCCCAGACATGATCGCGTCGTGAAAAAATCAGGACGGGAGGTTTTTAGCTATTTTCGCCCCCTGGGGGCCCTCGCCAGGCCCCAGGACCGCCAACCCGGGAATTCTTGTTCTTTCCTCTTCCCTATCCCTTCTGCTCGCCTTCTGTACTCCCGGGAGTCTTTTCAGCGTTTTCGCTCTCGTGGGGTCCTCGACGGACTCCTGGCTCGTCAGAAAACGACCCAGGACGAACACTTGTCTCTAGTGCAGGGGTCGGGACTTCGGGGATCCCACTGCCACGTGCCAGTAGAGCAGAATAGTCTTAGGTGGGGCCTGTCCCCCTACAGGCAGATTTTGGAGGACAAGTAAAAAGTAGTCAACAAAACATTCATAATATATTAACAAATCGTCAATACATCGTCCCCATATTATTCTTTTGACTATTTTTGAATATTCCTCTTGTAGTGAGGACTATTTTCCGACTATTTTTGACCATGCGTGAATATTTTTTGACTCTTTTCAATTCTTCGTCCAAAATCCGCCTGTAGGAGGAGAACATGCCCAACCTAACCCTAGAATTGATGTCTCTGAGCGTGCCAGTGCGGCCGATCCGTGCGGAAGATCTCAAGATCAGGGCATCGAGTGGAACATTGTTTTCGCCCCCCCCCCCCCCCCCCCCCGGAGGCATTGCCACGCGGCGAGTCGAGTGGAATGCTATCTGTTCCTCCCCGCGGCGTTGCCACGCCCAGAGTAGAGCGGAACCCGTTTTCGCTTTGAGTAGAGTGGGGTGCTATTTGTTTGCCCTTTGCCCCAGGCGGTGCCACGCGGCGAGTAGGACTGGATTCGTATTTTTGTCCGCCCGCTCTGCGTTGCCACTCGGCGAGTCGAGTAGACTAGTATATTCGTGTCGCCGCCCCTGCGTTGCCGCGCGACGTGTCGAAGGGAGCTGAGCAAATTCCGTTACGCGCCGTGGTGTTTTAGCTTCGCGCGCGCAACGGCCCGCGCAGGCCTGCCCCAGAATTGAGAACTCTGAGCGTGTTAGGGTTGCCGTTCCGCGCGGAAGTTTTTCAAGTCAGGGTGTCGTGTGGAGCATTTTCGCCAAGAGGCGTTGCCACGCGACGAGTGGAGTGAAATGTTATATGTTCTTCCCCACGGTGTTGCCACTCCCAGAGGCGAGTGGATTTTTCTTTTGCCCCCAAAGGCGTTGTCACGTGGCGAGTAGAGTGGAGTGCTCCCGCAGGCGTTGCCACGGCGCGAGTAGGAGTGGAGTAGTATTTTTGTCCGCCACACGGCATTGCCACGTGACGAGTTGAGTAGAGTAGTAGTAGTAGTAGTAGTAGTAGTAGTAGTAGTAGTAGTAGTAGTGGTGGTGGTGGTGGTGGTGGTGGTGGTGGTGGTGGTGGTGGTGGTGGTGGTGGTGGTGGTGGTGGTGGTGGTGGTGGTAGTAGTAGTAGTAGTAGTAGTAGTAGTAGTTATGCTGCGCCACCCACTCGCTGCCACGTGGTGCGTCGAACGGAGCAGCTCCTTTTCGCCCCGCGGCGTTGCCGCTCCGCGCGTCCATCGGCCCGCGCGTGTCTGCCCTAGAATTGATATCTCTGAGCGTGCGAGTGCGGCCGATCCGCGCGGGATAGTTCAAAATCACGGCATCGGGTGGAGCATCTTTGTTCGCCTCTTCTTCCTGGAGGCGTTGCCACGCGGCGAGTCGAGTGGAATGCTATCTGTTCCTCCCCGCGGCGTTGCCACGCTCGTAGAGCGGAATCGGTTTTCGCTTCCAAGGCGCCACCACGTGGCGAGCAAAGTGGAGTGCTATATGTTGGCTCCCAGACGGTGCCACGTGACGAGTAGGAGTGGATTCGTACTTTTGTCCGCCCGCTCTGCGTTGCCTCTTGACGAGTCGAGTAGGGCAGTAGTTTTGTGTCGCCGCCCCTGCGTTGCCGCGCGACGTGTCGAAGGGAGCTGAGCAGATTCCGTTACGCGCCGTGGCGTTGCCGCTCCGCTCGGCCCTAGGCCCGCGCAGGCCTGCCCCAGAATTGAGAACTCTGAGTGTGTCGGTGCGGCCGATCCACGCGGAAGATCTCAACTTTGGGCATCGAGTGGAGCATTTTTTTCGACCAGTTCCGGAGGTTGTTGCGCGGCGAGTCGAGTGGAACGCTACCTGTTCCGCCCGCGCCGTGGCCACGTCCGGAGTAGAGTGGAAGTTGTTTCGCTTCCAAGGGGTTGCCACGTGGCGAGTAGAGTGGAGTGCTATTTTTCCTCTCCCCAGGCGTTGCCCGGGGACGAGTAGGTGGGGAATCTTCTTCTGTCCGTCCCTCGGCGTTGCCACGTGACGAGTAGATAACTCCGACTGTGTCAGGACTGCCGATCCCCGCGGAAGTTCTCAAAGTCAGGGCGTCCAATGGATGACGATTGAAAAACCAGGACGAGGGAACTGCGCCGTTGTCGTCACTTTCGTGGGCTCCTGGGAGGTCCAGTGGAGTGAGTTGAAACGCGCAACCCGTCGAGATCTCTGTCTCTGTGCCTGTCTCTGTCTGTGCCTATGTGTGTGTGTGCATTTTTTTTTCCTCTCTCTCTCTCTGTCTCTAACTTCCCCTCCTCCTCCTCCTCCTCCTCCTCCTCGTCCTCAGACGGTAACATGTTTGTCGATGCTCTGGCTGGAGTTGCAGCCAGGGCAGCCAGAGTCTCAGCTTCTCCGAGGGGCCGTGCCGCGACGGCCGAGGCCGACGCCCGCAAGGTCGGGCACAGACCTCCTCCGTGCCGCGCTCGAGGTGGCGGAGCTTGCCGGGGACGGGGCCGAGGGGGAAAAACGGCGCGCTCCTGCTGCCGCCCCCCTCTGCCCGTGCTCCCCCTCCTCCCTCTCGCCGGTGCACGGCCGTCTTCGGCAGCTCTCGCCGGAGCTCTGGCGGCGGGGAGGCAGCGCACGGCAGGCAGGCGCTCGGCCTCAGGTGCCACCGCCATCGAGTGGTTGGCCAGCTCGTGCTTGCGGCTTGAGGTCTCCATGCCGGTCAGACTCGCAGGTTGACTGGAGGTCGTCGTTTACATCTCGCTGGAGGTTGGGTCCACCAGCCCCATCCCGTGGAGTTGCATGATGGCCTGAACCTGTGGTTTTGTGGGGTGTGGGGTGTGCGGGTGCTATGGAGGCTCTCGGCTTCGAGGTCTCGGCCAGCCTTGTGAGCGACGAAGACCCGGAAGGTGTACCCCAGTCGAATTTCCAGAGGTCTTTGGCCCAAAGTGCTCAGCAGGGCTGAGCAGACGGCTAAAGCTGAATCAATTTTGAATCGCTTCGCGGTCGGTCTTATCCCATCTTACCTCCTCCTCCTCCTCTTTCTCCTCCTCCTCCCCCTTGGGGCCCCTCTCCTTATCCCCCTCCCCTTTCCCATCAGTCCCTCCTCCCGTTTCCTTCCCCCCCCCCGCCTCACCCCCCCTCCCCGCCGCGTCCTCCGCCCTCCCCTTTGCTTCCCCATCCCTCCTCCGATCATCCTCATCCCTCCCCCCCCTTCCCCCGCGAGCAGCCAAGGCGAAGCGGAGTCGCAGCCTGCCCGCGCTGCCCGGCTGCTACATGTGGCAGCCGAGCGGGTGCCCTCAGAGGCCCGCGAACGTGTCGCACCCCTTCCTGTGGACACGTGACGTGGTTGGCGAGCTGGGGTTCGGCGCTGGGCGGGTCAGGAGCCAGGTTGCTCTTGAAGAGGGAGGAGGGATCGGGGTGGCGAGGGACTGGGGATAACGAGGAGGAGGAGGGGGGGTGAGGACCTCTTCCTCCCCCACCAGCCCCCGTCTCCTTTCCGCTTCCTCCACTTCCTCCTTTTTTCCCCTTTCCCTTTCCCTACTTTCCCCCCATCGATCGGGCACGGCGGCAAACTGCGGATCTTCGCCCGAGCATTTCTGGATGGCTGGTATTCCTAACTTCTACTTTTTGTAGGCCAATGGGCCAGCGGAAAGCTTGACGGCCGATTGTCACTAAACTCTGGTCAGCGTGTCTACCGCCGTGCGGACAGGCAAGAGGGCGCTGGATCACAACACATAGTAAGGGCCCGTGGTGTCTGTGTGTGTGTGTGTGTGTGTTTGTGAGGGTGTGTGTGTGTGTGTTGTGTGTGTGTTTTTGTTGTGTTGTGCGTTGTGCGTTGTGTGTTGTGTGTTGTGCGTTGTGTGTTGTGTGTTGTGTGCTGTGTGTTGTGTGTTATGTGCTGTGTGGTGTGTGGTGTGTGCTGTGTGCTGTGTGTTGTGTGTTGTGTGTTGTGTGCTGTGTGCTGTGTGTTGTGTGATGTGTGTTGTGTGTTGTGTGTTGTGTGTTGTGTGTTGTGCGTTACGTGTTGTGTGTCGTGTGTCGTGTGTTCTGCATTGTGTGTTGTTTGTTGTGTGTTGCGTGCTGTGTGCTGTGTGCTGCGTGCTGTGTGCTGTGAGTCGTGTGTCGTGTGTCGTGTGTCGTGTGTTGTGTGTTGTGTGTTGTGTGTTTTGCGTTGTATGTGTGTGTTGTGTGTGTGTGTTTGTGTGTGTGTGTGTGCGTGTGTGTGTGTGTGTGGTGTGTGTTGTGTGTGTGCGTGCGTGCGTGTGTGTGTGGTGTGTGTGTGTGGTGTGTGTGTGCGTGTGTGTGTGTGTGTGTGTGTTGTGTGTGTGTGTGTGTGCGTGCGCGTGTGTGTGTGTGTGTTGTGTGTGTGTGTGTGTGTGTGTGTGTGTGTGTGTGTGTGCGTGCGCGTGTGTGTGTGTGTGTGTGTGTGTGTGTGTGTGTTCGCCACGCACTGCACGCTCTCCGTGCGTGCCCGTTGACTTCGCTAAGCCCGCCCCCGAGTGAACGCCCTGTTTCGGCTGAGCAGGCAAGCTCCAGCGCCCAAGACGGCCAGAGACGCCCCCGAGACGGACCAGGAGGCGCCTGCGGGGGGACGAGGGATCTCCCCTCACCCTCAGACCGCCCCGTCCTGCGTCTTGGACAATCTGCATCGTCAGGCGAGCGCAGACCTGGACCAGGGGGGGCGAGGACTTTGGCGACGGGTGCCGTTTCCGCTGGGAAGTCGCGGACTTCCGCCCGCGCGGCCGCGCGCCACCCCCCGTGGGCTGCCGATCCGTGCAGTTGCGCGCCCCCGCAGCTGGCCGAGCAGGCATCCGCTGGGGGCGTGCCCGTCGCCCGCCCCCCGTGCGCCCGCGCGCGGCTTTCTGTGCACACCCTGGGCCCTGTGGGCGCTGCCCCCCCCTCCTCCTGCGAGGATGCTTCTCCATCTCTTGCCAGGAGGGGAAAATCCTCCTCCTCCTCCTCCTCCTCCTCCTCTTCCTCCTCCTCCTCACGCAACTGATCGCCGACTCCCCGGAAAAGATGGGGAAATAGGGGCAGCGGGGGGGCCAAGACGGAAACCCCAGAAGATCTGGGAAAATACGGGGAATCCTGGGATTGGCGTCTGTGCGTTTGTGTGTCCCTGGGCCCCTTTATTTTGGACCCCCACCGACAGGAAAGTGTGCGAGTACTATCGGAAGATCTCCATCGACAAGGAGTGCGGGACCGTGGACGTTACCATGCTTTACGTCCCGGATCAGAGGCGCGCTGGCAAAAATGCGACCGGTGCGCCCAGCGCCGACTCGCACAGCTGAGTCGCCGCGTCTTCTTCCACCCCCCCGTTGCCGGCGACGCTACAAACACTTGCTCACCGCGTCCTGAAGCTTGGCATCGCTCCGACGTGGCCTTTTTCCTCGGCGAGGACCATCAAGGAGCATCCTGGACCATCTGGGAAGAAGAGCACGCACGAAATCGAACACTGCACGGCAAAGGGGCGTCCGAGCGATGGCAAGGAACAGAGCCCGTGAGCGACGATCGGAGGCGAGAAGGGGCGAGGATGGCCCAGGGGCCCGCGCTGCACATGCTCGCCTGGTAGCCTCGCCGAAGACATGGGCCATCGGCGCCTTTTGGATGCACGCGCTGCTCCCTTGGGCTATACGCGCCCCCGTCGTCGCCTCCGAGGCCAGCGAGGGCCGCGAGGGCGGGCTGCCCGCGCTGCTTCCGTTCCTCGGGTGCTCGGCGTCGTGGCCCATCTCCGGCCGGGCGTGGCACGGTGCAGGGCAGCGGGTGGCCCCCCCCCCAGTGGGGTGCCAGCGTTTCCGTCTAGGCTTATGCTGTTCCAGCCTGCTTTCGCCTTGACCGCCAGGCAGAATTTCGAGCACCAAGACAGCACCACAGCCTGAGGGTTTCCGCGTGTCGGGCTCTGGGAGGCGATACTCGTTCGACACTGTTTTGGTACTGTTCTGGGTGCTCGGAATTATCCGTAAGGGCTTCGCCCCATGCCGCCGGCCCCCTGTCTCGGATAATGGGAGATGTAGAAGCTAACTCACGAGGTCTGGGCGCCGCCGTGAAGCAGTGTCGGGACCTGTTTGTTTGTCGACCCTGACCCCACGGATCTGCGTGAGGGGTGCCGCCGAATTTCATGCGGCAAATCCACTGTGTTTTTGGACCCTGACCCTACGGATCTGCGTGAGGGGTGCCGCCGAATTTCAGAAATGTGGCAAATCACCGAATTTCAGACATATCGCAAATCCTTTGGTTTTTGGACCCTGACCCTGCCGATCTGCGTGAGGGGTGCTACCGAATGTCAAACATGTGGCAATTCCCATGTGTTTTTGGACCCTGACCCCGCCGATCCGCGTGAGGGGTGCCACCGAATGTTAGAAATGTGGCAAAAAACATTTGTGTTTTTGGACCCTGACCCCGCCGATCTGCGTGAGGTGTGCCACCGAATTTCAGAAATGTAGCAAATCCCGTATGCTTTTGGACCCTGACCCCGCCGATCTGCGTGAGGGGTGCCAGCGAATTTCAGAAATGTGGCAATTCCCGTGTGCTTTTGGACCCTGACCCCGCCGATCTGCGTGAGGGGTGCCAGCGAATTTCAGACATGTGGCAAATCCCATGTGTCTTTGGACCCTGACCCCGCCGATCTGCGTGAGGGGTGTCATGTTTACACACCCCAGCAATTCAGAGCATACGTTTTTGCCGTGGTAAAAATGCCCGTTTTGGGCCTCCCCCTCTCGCGCGGAAGAAGTCAAGAAGCAGCAAGAAGTCAACAAGAAGTCAACAAGAAACAGTAAGCAACAAGAAGTCAACAAGGAACAGTAAGCAGCAAGAAGCAGAACTGTACCAGTGGAAACTGGAAGCTGCAACCGGCACAGGAAACTGCCAACCTTCGCCCTGCAGCCTGGTGGCCCCACAAGGGGGCCGGCGGATTTTTTCGGGGACCAGATGCGACCCCTCCCCCTACCCCCTCACGCTTTGAGGGGGAGGGTGGGGTTCAACTTCGCTCGGAGGCTCCCGAGCGAAGTGACCCGCACCCTCCCCCTCAGAAATCGTCGGGGTATAGGGGTAGGGTTCGCATGTGGCCCCCTATTTTTGGGATGTGGTCCTTCAGTACGATGGGAGCAGCATAATTCTAGATCTTCCTTGGTGCCCAGCTGCCTGCTGCAAGTCCCGCCTGCGCGCCAGCGCAGCCGCGCAGCGTGAGGGAGGCGTGCTCGGATCCGCTCGCCGGAGCATCTCTGGGGCCGCTGGGAGGCCTCTCGGGCGCCTTTCGGGGGAGCGTAAGACCCTGGTTTGCCAGGACTCGGGTTCGCCATCGTTTTTGTTGACGACCGCGATTCGGATTTTGACGAGTGGGAGTTTCGTGGGATCTCTGCAGCGGGAGGCCTCGTCAAAATGCATGCTCAGCCTCGTCATTTTTTTGACGACCTCGTCGGGGATTTCCGAGTCCCCTGTACCCGGGTCTTACGCCCCCTGAGCCTTTTTGGGTCCGTTTGGGTGGCAGGTGGGTCTGTCTTGGGGCGACCTCTTGGGGATCTCTCGAGCTTCTCGGGGGCGTCTTGGGGCCTCCGGGGGCCTCTCGAGAGCCTCTAGGAGGCACGTTGGGGGGGGTCTTGGAGGCGATCCAGCAGGAAAATGGCTGTCAAGGCCAGCTCGCGTCCTGTCTCGGGCCCCTCTCCTCGGGACCTTGGGGGTATCTGGAGCCGTGCTGGGGCTCCCTTGGGCCGTCTTGAGGGCCTCCTGGGCCGTCTTGGAGTCCTCATGGGCCGTCTTGAGGCCTTCTTGGGCCCCTGTTTGATTGACCTGGAGTTTTCCTGGGAACCTTCTGGGTCGCCCTGGGCTTTCGGAAGCCGGACGGGGCCAGTATGTCAGAATCTGCCAAACGCCTCAGGACAATCCATGCTTTTTCCCAACCCTCTCTTGGTTAGGCTCTCGTTTTGAATCGAGCAGTGGGGGTCGCCAGCTCCCTTGTCCTTCTCCTCCCCCCTTCGCACTCCTCTCGGCTCTCCCCTCTCGCATCCCTCTTGGGGGCTGCGAAGTGTGAAGCTGTCGCCACCTTCGAGGGCTGCCGGGGGGAGCCAGCACAGTGGGGCCCCACGCAGATCCGACCGTGACCTCGCCATCCCTGGGGGGGCCTGCGCAGTGTGAAATTGTCGCCACTTTCGAGGGCTGCTGGGGGAGCCGGCACAGCGGGGTTCCAGGGAGATCCAAAGGGGACCTCGCCATCCCTGCGGTGGCAGCGACGTGACAAATTCTCGCCACATTCGCGGGTTTTTGGGGGAGCCAGCACAGCGGGGTCCCAGGCAGATCCAAAGGGGACCTTCGCCATCCCTGGGGGGCCTGCGCAACGTGAAATTGTTGCCACTTTCGAGGGCTGCTGGGGGAGCCGGCACAGCGGGGTTCCAGGGAGATCCAAAGGGGACCTCGCCATCCCTGCGGTGGCAGCGACGTGACAAATTCTCGCCACTTTCGCGGGTTTTTGGGGGAGCCAGCACAGCGGGG